CCCCAAAACCCCAAAACCCCAAAACCCCGAGCTAAGATTTATGCATTGAGATATTATGGAGGAATAGGCCTTGTGCTGGGTTTGGAGGGTTGCAGTGGGAAGGGTTAGGGGTCAGAGTTGGGGGAGGGTGGGAAGGAGGGAGGATAGAGCAGTTGCTGAGGGAGGATGGGGGTTTTGGAGGGAGGAAGGGCGGTTTGAGGGAGTGGGAGTGGGGGTTCTGGGGGGAATTGAGGGCTTTTTGGGGGTGATAGTGGGGGTTTTGTTGGTGGTTCTGCATTTTTTGGTGTAGGTGGATATTGATTTTAGTAGAAAGATAAATCAGATCAGTGCTCATATTGAAGGAGATATAGATAGAATGGATGTGTAGTATCCTTCGTAAAATGGAGTCCATGTAGCCTCAGTTTTTAACCACGAAAGCGGAACTGCTAGACAGCAAAATAGACTTTGATTGACAATCTCAATGATATTGTCTTGAGGGTTTTCTAATGGTCTTACAACCAGCAAGTACAAACAGTACGCAATGTTTATCAAGTAGAAATACGTTGTCTTTGTGGTGTGGCCAGCTGATCTTCCGAAAACCAGCAGTGAAATCAGCATCAGTCTCACAAGCATGAACATACTAGAATACAGTTTTGAGAACTTAGTTAGCTTGACTCCGTTGAAGTACTCGGTTCATGGCCAGTACTTCTGAGAGTCAAATTCAGGAAATGATTTTGCGTACATGATGAATGACAGAATGAATAGTACGCTTGTTCACATTGCAAATATGATACAGAGCCCAAAAGATACCTTAGTCACTAGTGTAGATAAATTCATTAAGTACATTTCAGAGAATATTGATAATGTTGTGAATGCAAATGCCTGGATGAATACACGAACATATATGTTGAAAGTAAAGAATAAAAACAGTCTGTCGAGCCATTTTTTACATTTTCTGTGATCACTCTGATCTGCTCACTTACTACAAATTACGATACCGAAATGGATAACTCCTAAGAAAATAATAAAAGCCATCAAAGATAGATAGTTGACAACAGAACTGCCGGACCTCATCCCGATGCTGTTCAGATACTCATCAGATTGAGGGTATGACACCCATTCAGTGATAGCAATGACAAATGGAATGTCTTTGAACTTCAGAAAGTCAAATGACATCATCGAGAATCCCATCCCACTCAGGAACGCCAGCACTTTCGGAGAGAAATAATCAGGAACCAGAGGGAGTTGAATGGCCAGTTGGAGACTGTTCATGACACTGAATATGGAGTTGACTGACGACAGAGACAACACAGACGAAGCACTTGCCATCATCACACTGGCTGCTCCCAGAGCAGCAGCAGCTTCAGTTGCACCAGAAATGGCTTGTACTTTAGATCAAGAAGCCTTATCATTTGAGGTTTCAAAGCCAGTCCTGCAAGTCTCTCACAAGTCCGGGCTTCCAAGCTGGCAGATCTCTCAGTTAGTGATGCTTCACTGCTCAACAGTGATTTCAAATTGTTTGTATTGAGTTTCGCTGTCAAAGGAAATCTGTAGCGAGAAATAGTAAGTGCTTGAGTTTGTGAGTTTTGGTGTCTTGTTCAAATAGAGTTCTTGTTTTTCTATGTCTATATCTACCCACTCAGGAATTTCGTTGGACCCAGTTTGAGTTAAAGTAAAAGTTATTTCAGTGTAACTAGAAGATAGAGTGCAAGCCCAAATGAAATCTACTTGCACTAACGAATTGCTTTGAACATTCTGAATATGATCTTGATTCCACAATGCAACTTTGGTTGTGAATGAAGAGCTGACACTTGCTGTCACATCTGTAGAAGTGATTGATGGAGATGTTGAGATTATGAGTGTTTTTGTGTCGTTAGTCAGACTGGGATTTGATGTTGTGTCAGAGATTTGATAGTCTGAAGTTATAGGAGAGAAAAGAGGAGTGTCTTCTTCAAATTCTGGCAATTGATCAATATTGTTCGGTAATGACCTGGCAAAGAAAAAATATCTATTATCTTGATACTTTCCACAATGGTACATTAACTCTTTTCCTTTATATATTAATCTCCCAATAGCATAAGAGAATGAAACTATTGAATTAAACTCTTTTGTACTTAACAAATCATCTTTCTTAACCAAAATCAGTCTTTTACGAGTAGGAAATGTTGAGGTATAAATTTGAACAGCAACATAATCATTGAACTCTCTCATTGAGTAGCTATTTGAAAAGTTCACATCATTCCAGATTAATCCAGAGGCTTGTGGAGATCCATCAGCCACACTAAGTTTGTGGAATATGAAGTTCTCGCCAAACAGAATCATCGCATAGATAAACTCTTCATTTTGGCTTAGAATAGATGTGCTGGCCCTCTGAAGTCAGGCTGTAGCTGGACATAAAATGACTTTCTTCCAAACTAAGTTTGAAGGATCCGAGAAATTATAGTTAATCAAATAATATTCATCATCAGCTAAATCTCTAGAGCCAAAGAATAAAAGGTCGTCACTGATAGGAGCAAAGTCCGTATGTCTATGGACTCCAAAACTAAATCAGTCAAGATTAGTTGTTAAAGTATCCCATCGGCATGTATGAGCCATTGATCCTAATTTCAAACTGAAGAATACATTCTTCTTAGCTTTGATATTGGAAGTACTACTTACAGTAGCAGTGCTTATCGCTAACTCTCTTGCGACAGTAAGGTCATTAGTGTTGATCTCAATAATTTTGTTAGTAGCCAAATCCATCATATAGATGAAGTCTCCATCGGAGTCCATAGTTATCGAATAAACTCTGAGATCAATGTTATAGGTCATTACCTTTACCTTGCTGAGGTTATAATCTGATTTATAAATAACAGTGTCTTTTGGATCCGTGACATTTCTGTAATATCCAACAAAATAGAGCAAACTCTTATCTTGGTCATCAAAGATATTAAACAGATACGTGTATGATGCTCCTGGTATCTCAAAGGTCCCAGAAAGTGGAGACCCGACTTCTTCTGTTTGGTCCTTACATACATTTGCCATTACAAGGGTGATAGTACAGAAAAGAATGAGAATCTGCTTCATTTTTATTATTTATTATTAAATTCTATTACAAATACTCTTTACGGGGTTTTGGGGTTTTGGGGTTTTGGGG